CTCTTAACCTTCGTGAGCTGAGTACGGATCATGATTGCAGAGATATTATGTGTAAGACGTTACAGCGGAGAATTAAACTAGAAGCAGAAAATACTAATTATTAATCATGGAAGATAAAACTTTAATTAATATTTTTTGTAAACAACAACGTGGTATTAATATAGTTCATTTTAATGCGAGAAGTCTTTCTGGCTTAAAATTAGATCATGTAAGAGCTGTTTTCGAAGACAGCAAAGTAGATGTTATCTGCATTTCTGAGACTTGGTTTGACTTCCATCTTGATAGTTCATACCTATCTATAAACGACTTTGTTTTATTTAGACATGATAGGAAACATAAATTGGGTGGCGGCGTTGCTATTTATTGTAAATCATATTTAAGAAGTCAATTGATCTGTATATCGGAAGAAAGTGAAATTGAATTTTTATGTGTATGTATTTATTTAGGTAGTCATAAAATTCTTGTTTCTTGTGCTTATAACCCCAGCAAAAGGTACTGTAGTGGTCCTCTTTTTGAAGCCCTCCTTCCTATTGCTGTCAATTATGATTTTATTGCCATATTTGGCGATTTTAATATTGATATTATTCTTTTGAGCAATGCTAAAGTGTCTGCACTGAATGACCTTATAGCTATGGTTGGTCTAAGCATTGTGAATAATACCGTGCCTACTAGATATAGTAATAATGTACGCCCAAGTCTCCTCGACTTAGTGATCGTGTCTGATCTGACCAAAGTGTTGTTATTTGATCAGATTTCGTTTGTTTCCGATCATGATTTATTATTCACTACCTTAGATTATTGTGTAACGAGAAATGTCAATCCATCTCAATTTTCTTTCTGGGATTTTAAATCAGCTGATACTCAGTTATTATGTAGTGATCTTAGCTCTGTTGACTGGAGTAATTGCTGGTTTGGTGCTTTAGTTGATGACAAATTGACAGTCTTAAACAATATAATTATTAATTATTTGCATCAGTATATTCCGTATCGTACTACACATGTTAAGAATTCTTCATGTCCATGGTTCAGTACTAACATCAAACGTATGATAAACAAGAGAAATAGGAAGTATGCAGTGTGGAAAAGATATCCGAATGTTTTTAACTGGACGCGGTTTAAAGCAGCTCGAAATTTGACTCGAATGGCTATTTATCTTGCTAAATCTACGTTCATTAAATCGAAACTAGATACCTCATTACCTACAAAATCACTTTGGAGCAACATCAAAGCTCTAGGGGTGGTTAATAGTTCAAAAAATGTATGTAGCATTGATCCTAACATTTTAAATGATTTCTTTGTTCCTATAGGAGATAGATTGAACGTTGCTCCGGTCTTCCCTGAACTTGAGAGTGTTCCCTCCAAACGCAGTTTTGACTTTATATGTGTTAGTGAAGAAACTGTCTTTAATAATGTCATGAAAATTAAGTCAAACGCTATTGGAATAGATGAAATTCCGCATAAATTTATTAAACTTATACTGCCGTTTATTATTACTCCTTTGACGCACATTATTAACCACTGTTTCACTACATCATGTTTTTCTACTGTTTGGAAAAAAGCCAAGATTATTCCAATTAAGAAAAAAAGGCTAATGCATCCTCATGTTCCGATTATCGCCCAATCAGTATTCTCCCTTCACTCTCTAAAGTGTGTGAGAACATTATGGCTGATCAAATACGTACTCATCTTAACTGCTTTAAACTTCTCTCTCCTCTCCAGTCTGGGTTTAAAAAAGGTCATAGTTGCACGACGGCAATGCTTAAGGTCCTCGAAGATATTCGATGTAGCTATGATCAAAACTTAGTAACATTTTTATGTCTCCTTGACTTTACCAAAGCTTTTGACTGTGTTGACCATTCTCTATTATGTAAAAAGCTTTTTCATTCCTTTTATTTTTCTAGGTCGGCCTCAGAATTTATTTATAGCTACTTAACTGGAAGGGAACAGGCTGTACTCGTATAGAATGCTTTTTCTAACTTCAAACCTTTATTTACTGGGGTACCTTAAGGCTCTGTACTAGGACCTCTTTTATTTTCAATTTATATTGATGATATTTTTTCAATATGTAAGTATGCTATATTGCATGCGTATGCAGATGACATTCTAATGTATCTATCTTGTCGGATTTCTGATATTAATGACCTCGTGCAAATGACTACTGCAGATTTATCATATATAGTGGTATGGGCTAAGCAAAATAATATGTTCCTTAATATAAACAAGTCTTCAATTCTACCAATTGCTAGGCTAAATATTAATTTTGATTTCTTGCCATCTATAACACTTGGCAACTTAATTATTAAATATACTAATTCGGCAAAATGTCTGGGTTTTCATTTGAACACTAATCTGCATGCTGGCGAACATGTTAACCAAGTTATTAGAAAATCTTTTGCATGTTTAAGAGGTCTGAATCTTTCTGTGAAGTATACACCGGTTGACATGCGTGTTTTGTTGGTAAAACAACTAATTATTCCTATTGTTATGTACTCCTCTTTAGTATACTCAAAACTTGATGTTGAATCCCTCAATAAGTTACGAAGCTTAATAAACTGCTGCACGCGATATGCTTTTGGTCTTAGACGCTTTGATAATTTAGGTATTTATAGAAATGTGATTCTAGGGTGTGATATTGAACAATATATGCAGTTTCGAGTATGCTTATTTTTGTTCAAACTTTTATCCACTACTACGCCGAAGTATCTTTTTGATTGCTTGCAGCTAACTAGATCTAACAGATCTTGTCTTTTCATCATTCCCAGATTTAGTTTGGCCTCCACTACTAAGTTTTTCTTTATTCAGTCTGTTAGAATTTGGAATGCTCTTTCAAGCACAACCAGAAATGCAGTTAACCCGAGTGTTTTTAAGAAACTGTTAAAAAACGAACTGTGTTAACGTCACGTTTATTTGTCTTTATTTATTTTTTTTGTTTTTTATTCATTGTTTTGGTTGTTTTGCTGCTATATAATTAAGTTTACTGTAATTTGTTTGTTATTAACTTAAATTCTATTATTTAAATATTTCATGCTGTTTTCTTTTTTGTTTCGCTGTTGATCAGTAACTATAATTTTAATACTTTTTAGATATGTTATTACTATATTCTCTGAAAACTTTAATTACTTTTTTTTATTTTATTTTATTGTATTTTTTATTTTTATTTTTATTCTTTAAATTAGCTTTAAGATACTGCAATAAAAAGGGTTGTCCCTTAATGCATTTAAATAAATAAATAAATAAATAAATAAAATATCAACTGCATGCATACGAATCCAATATGATGATTTGCCAAAGTGGTTGCATGAGCGGCTGAAGTTTGCAGCTCATCTCACCATACATTTCTATCACATTTCGTCTCTCCCCTTTTAACAGTAGCACCCACGAATTTCTGTCGCTCACTGTGCGGAGTACTTGTCCGCACATTTATACGTTGCAATTGGGTTTGATTTTGTTTGATCACTGCATAAACATGTATGGTTCTGAGTTAAAACTCTTTTGTTTGAAAAAAGTTAGTTTGATGTTACGAGAATTATGTGAAAAGTTTTGTTTCTTCCATATTGATATAATATTAAATTTATATAGAAATTATTAATTTAATTTGTTTAATATGTTATTTTGTTAATGAATTGTTAATATAATATTGCGAATATATTGTTGCCTAATATAATATAGTTATTATTATTAAAACATCTCATATATTTTAATTTAAGTGGTACATGTAAAAACAACATTAAAGAAGGGCCGCACACCCTTCCAGATAGGGCACGCGTCGTCACTGGTCCAGCGTCATTGCTGATGTAGTGTTATATTAAAACCCCTTAATATAATATGACCACAAGTCTGTTACATTTCCGGCACATGCCAATAAAAGAATTGCAAAACAATTCTTTCGGTCAATAAACTTTAAAACCTAATTAATTTACCAAAATTGCAAAACAATTATTTGGGCCAATAAACTTTAATAATTCTAAATAATTTACCAAAATTGCAAAACAATTCTTTGGACTTATTTTGCAAATAATAAACTTACAAGCAAATGACCAAATATGCAATATAGACAAAATGATTAACATAAGTGGCGAGTGCAAGCCAGTAAGCGAGCAGTCTGTCTCTGAGTGTTAATCATAAAAGGTGGAAAAATAAGTTTAATATAAGAAAATAAATAATAAGTTAAAAGTGTAATAAAAATTAAAAATTGAATAAAGATTAATAAAAAAAAGAAAATACTTTTTTTTATTCCTTTCGAAAAATTCGAAACAAAAGTGGCGCAGTCGGTAGGATACCGCGAGTGATATTCTTTTAAAAGATTAAAAGGAAAGAACTTTTTATTTTAATAAATTAACGCGGTATCTAATAAAATATACATCCTTTCGAAAGATCGAAGGACTAAGAATAATATACTTTCTTGACTGTCAGAACTGTGACGTGAAGATAAATTAAAAATAAATTTAATAACTGTGTACTAATCAACAAAAAAATAAAATTGGTACAAAAAATAAATGTATTCTTTCAAAATATTGAAAAACTAAATAAAATCGATCATTTTCGAAAACTCATTAAAACTGAAAATTGAATCTGTGAAATATAAACACAATTTTTTATAAACAAATATATTGTGTTTTATGGACAAAAGATTGCTCAAACTATCAAAAACTTTAACTTTTTGGCAGAAGATTGCCACATCAGTGAAGAAACAATATATATAATATTCCGTGGACAAAAGATTACTGTAACCATCAAACACTTAAACCCTTTAGAAGACCTTGACCAACAGGAAAAAGTCATCACATTCAAAAGGACTCCAACAGCAACCCACCAGAAGAAGAACACCATCCAAAAGAACATAACACCATATAAGGTAGTGATAAATAAAATTAATTATATATAGATTAAGTATATAACATACAAAGAGTTAGAAAATTGTAGAGAACTAACAAGTTTTGTTAATAAAAAATAAACAATTTCAAATAAGAAATAAAAGCAGAATTAGAATTTAAGTCGAAATGGCACAAATACAATTTGAACCTATTAAATATTTAGGAAACCTCCCCGAATTTAATGGTGACAATAGAGATCTGCAAACGTTTTTAAATTTAATAGACAGGATACATCCTATATTACAGACATACGACGAACTATCACAAGGACTATTCTCAGACTTAATCAAAAGTAAACTCAAGGGTAAAGCCAGGGAAATTATTGAAATAAATTGCCAGGCAACCTCCTGGAACGATATAAAAGCAGTCCTACAAAACAATTTCGGTGACCGATTAAGTTGTGATGAACTTTTCGACTCGCTCAGGGCAACTACATTTAAAACAACTAGTCTAGACTTTTTTGACGAAATAAAGAGTAAACTTAGACGCCTTAACAACAAGACCTTATTCGTACTTGGGCAAGAATTAGGAGCAGCAAGCACAATCGCTCAAAATAACTCCCGTACAGCTCTTAATATTTTTAAATCCAAAATCCCAGAACCTATGAAAACGATTTTGGCTTGTAGAAATCCGAACACTTTAGAAGGAGCAATGAACATCCTCTTTGAAGCTGGATACGCCCACCTTCGAATAGACAATCAACAACCTTTTACGCGAAAGAAACCCGAACAAAATAAATCTAACTTCAAACAAAATCAACACCAACAAAATTTCAAACCACACAATTTTAATCAAAATTTTAACTCACAAAATAATCCAAGTTTCAACCACCACAGGCAAAACTTCCAACGACGACATTTTGACCAACAAAATTTTAACCAGAACTTCAAGTCACATAATAATCCAAACCATAATAGCCACAATCAAAATTCCCAACAACAGAATTTTAACCAGAATACTAATCCTCAGAATAACTCAAATTTCAATCACAATAGACAGAATTTTACATCCCAGAATAGAACTTTCAACCGTTTTCCAATACCTGAACCAATGGATGTAAATGTTAACTTTTCAAACGTTGGAATCAATACTTCAAATTTTAATCCACAGCGAAATTTCGCAGCCCAGAACGAAGTTTATAACCAATATAATCATAATAATTACGGGGCACCTTACAGTCAACCTCCTTCTGAAAATTTTCATCCTTCTGCCTCGGAGGACTACCCTATATAAGAATAGAAACTAAGTTAAGACATATAAAACTAATCATAGATACTGGTGCAACCAACTCAATATTAAACCCAGGTATCTGTCACCCCAAATGGATTCACCAAACTATCCCTCTTCCTATAAAAACCCTCCAACATAAGATCTACACAGATAAAAAAGCTATAATACACTGTTTCAAAGAACTCGGAGAAACCTTAGACTTCATAGAATTCTATATCATACATTTCCATGACTATTATGATGGCTTAATTGGCAATGACCTACTTAAACCATTAAAAGCATGCATAAATTACCAGGACAACACGATCCAATTAGGAGGACAAACTTTACCCATCTTCTTTAAAACCAAAGAAGACTATAACTATAAAACAGAAATAGCACCCATTACAGAATCACTCAAATTTAATCAAGAGAACCTCACACCAATTCATAGTACCACGCAGAAGGTGGACAGTGAAAATTTTAATACAATTCAAATAAAAAAATATAAACCTTTAAGCGAACAACTTCGAACAGACCATCTCAATTCAGAGGAAAAATCATTATTACTATCAGTAGTAATGAAACACTCTGGCATATTTTACCAAGAAAATGATAAACTTTCCTTTACGTCCGCTATAAAACATAAAATAAGGACAACTAATAATGTCCCAATCCACACCAAGTCATATCGGTACCCCTACATTCACAGGAGTGAGGTAGAAAAACAAATTAGTGAAATGCTTGAGAATAAGATAATTCGTCATAGTAACTCACCATATTCGGCACCCATTTGGATAGTCCCAAAAAAGACGGACGCTAGTGGAAAACCCAAATGGAGGCTTGTCATTGACTACCGAAAGCTCAATGAGGTAACCATCGATGACAAATACCCCATCCCGAATATAGACGAAATCCTCGACAAATTGGGAAGATGCCAATACTTTACAACCCTCGACCTGGCAAAGGGATTTCATCAGATTGAAATCGAGGAAGAGGATATTCATAAAACCGCGTTTAGCGTTGAAAGAGGACACTATGAATTTTTAAGGATGCCATTTGGACTAAAAACGGCTCCAGCAACGTTCCAAAGGTTGATGAATTACGTACTAAAGGATTACATCAATAAAATCTGTCTAGTATACCTAGACGACGTTATTATATTCTCCACGTCATTGCAAGAGCATATAAATTCATTAAAACTCATTTTTAACCGCTTACAGGAAGCAAACCTGAAAATCCAACTAGATAAGTCGGAATTTCTGAAAAGAGAAACAGAGTTTCTTGGTCACATTGTGACATTGGAAGGGATAAAACCTAATCCAAAGAAAATTGAATGTGTAGTAAATTTTCCCATACCAAAATCAACAAAACAAATCAAGCAATTTCTCGGTCTAACTGGATATTACAGAAAGTTTATTAAAGACTATTCTCTAATCGCCAAACCAATGACCAGATACTTGAAGAAGGACACTAAAATAAATACCTCTGATCCACACTATGTGCAAAGTTTCAACACACTTAAAACATTGTTGACACATGACCCAATACTAGCTTACCCTGACTTTTCAAAGAAATTTACTCTAACAACAGATGCTAGTAACTACGCATTAGGCGCAGTCCTCTCACAAGACAACCATCCGATTTGCTACGCTAGTCGCACACTCAATGAACATGAATGCAACTACAGTACAATAGAGAAGGAACTTTTAGCCATCGTATGGGCGACAAAGTATTTCAGACCCTACCTCTTCGGACGTAAATTCATAATTGAAACGGACCACAAACCATTAACATGGCTCTTTTCAATTAAGGAACCCAATTCAAAACTAGTCAGGTGGAGGTTAAAACTCTCGGAATTTGACTACGAGATCAAATACAAAAAGGGAACACAAAATAGCAACGCCGACGCTCTATCAAGAATAGAGTCACTACCCGCTAATATTTATTCATTAGAACCCTGCGAATCAACTATAAAAGAAACAGAATCACCTATTAATATATTCAGGAATCAAATAATTATAAAAAAAATCACATCTGGAGCAGCTAGGATAAAGAATGAAAGAATATTTAGAAACGTAAGAAAAATTATAAGTCTTAAAGAATTTGATCGAGAAACCGCAATAACTTTGCTAAAAAGTCACTTTAATCCAAATCAATTAAACGCAATTCTAATAGAGAATGAATTCTATGACACCCTCAAACGTACTTATGAAGACCTGTTCTCAAATAATGATAAATTTAAGATTATAAAATGTACAAGAATACTAATAGACGTAGACGAAGAAAATAAATTAACTAATATAATCGAAAAAGAGCACTTAGGTAAGAATCATAGAGGCATTCAAGCAGTATACGAGGAATTAAAAAACCAAGTTTACAACCCTCAACTAAAGTTAAGGATTACACAATTTATTAACAATTGTGAAATTTGCACTTTAGAAAAATACGACCGAAAACCACCCAAAATACCTTTCAAGATAAGCGAAACCCCCTCTAAACCCCGCGAGGTTGTACACATTGACGTATTTTACACTCTAGGAAGAGAACTCTTTATGACGTTAATTGACAAATTTACGAAATTCGCAGTAGCCTACAAAATTAACGGTAGAAGTTGGACGGAATTCAAGACAAAACTACTTCACTATATTAACACATACGGGAAAATTGAGAAAATAGTTGTAGACAACGAATTAGGATTCAAAGCTATACCAATGCGAGAATTTCTTAGAGAAGAAAACACCCATATACATTACACTTCGAATAGCAACCACACTTCCAATGCAGACATCGAAAGACTTCATAATACTATTAATGAACATATACGACTTCTAAGACATGACGACAAAAATAAAAACGAAACAATGGAAGAAAAAATGTTGAGGATAGTAGGTTTTTATAACAACACAATTCACAGTACAACTAAAATAAAACCAATTGACTTTTTAAATGGAAAAATTCACGAAGATAGATACAAATCGATACATGACCTAATCTCTAGAAAGAAAGAAAATTACATAAATAAATTAAATAGGGACAGAGTTGACGTAGAAATAGAAGAAGGGATAAATTTTATTAAAGAAATTAGAGGAGGTAAAAACCATAGAAAATATAGGAAGATACATACAAAAAAAATTGACGAAGATCACATAGAAAATACAAAAACGGGACATAAGTACTACAAAACTCATATAAAACAAAATAAGAAGTATCAGGATAAAGATAATCCTAAAATAAAAGCTTAATAATGAACAAATCGACATATACTTTTTCAGATGACACCATTGATTTTGATAATTACATTTCTAACAACCACCAGATCACAATCTATTGACATTCAAGACCTAACTAACAATAACGGATACATACCGATCAGAACAGGAGACCTTAAAGTAATTGACCACTACAACAAAATCCTACACATTGTTAACATAACCGCCTACACGGACACATTAAACTTAATTCTGCAAAATATACAATCCCTTAAAGTTAACAGAATAGAAACTAAAGCAGTATCAGATACAGTAAACAAAAATTTTGCACTACTAAAAGGAAAAATAGAGAACCTAAATCCTCATTTTAGACAAAAAAGAGGACTAATTAACGTATTAGGGAAAGGACTCAAGTTTATAGCTGGCACAATGGACAGTGATGACGAAACCGAAATAAGTAATTCACTCAAATCACTTTATAAAGATGAAGAAGTCTTGACAAACAAAATTAACAACCTGACATTTGTTAACAATTTCATATCCTCCCAAATACAGAACATTACGGATCACATAAATCAAAAACAAACTCTAATAGGAAATTATTTGAACAAATTTAAAAACTTTATGGAAAACAGAATAACTACATTAGAAGAAGAAATAACATTTATAGAACAAGTCTACCAAATCAACAACGATATTTCACTCTTACGAAACCATGTCGATGATATTGGACAAATAATATTTTCTAGTAAACTCGGAATAATTCCCACGGACATCCTAACTAACACAGAACTCAATTTTATTAACGATTTTGACAGTTACACTAATATCAAAGTAGCCGTCGCAATAAACGATAGCAATATAATAATAATTCTCCAAATCCCACAATATTCCAAGGAAGTTTTATCAAAAATTGTATTCGAGCCAATTCCTAATATATATAACAAATCGATTATTTTAGATAAATACGAAATATTAGTAGATTCCAAAAATAATATTTACGATGCTAGCATTAAGGATAATCTTAAGAAAAATATAATACAAATCACTAACAAATGCCTTTCAAATATATTAAATTACGAAGAAGCATACTGCGATATGCAAATATCAGAAAAATCAATTGTAACTGAAATTCTACCAGGCATATTAATATTTAAAAACTTCTATTCCAAAATTGAACATAATTGTAATAAAATTAATATTAAAATAAATGGCAACTTTCTAATAAAATTTGAAAACTGTGAAATTTTTACAGAAAAGAAAAATTTTACCAATACCAAAATAAAACTTTATGAACAATTTATTCTACCTAATGCCATAACTAAAGTAAAAGAAAAATCAAATATGACATTCACTAATTTAAAACTAGAATCACTATACTTAGAACAAATCAAACATGTAAAATACATTGAACAAATACAATATGAAACAAAAAAATCAAATCTTATAAACATAAGCATAGATATAATAATTGTTTTGATCATTATAATGTTAATGGTATTTATTATATATAAGATAAAATTATTCACCATATTGCATATTTCGTCGGAGCCTCAATCTAACGGTGGGGGTGTTATATTAAAACCCCTTAATATAATATGACCACAAGTCTGTTACATTTCCGGCACATGCCAATAAAAGAATTGCAAAACAATTCTTTCGGTCAATAAACTTTAAAACCTAATTAATTTACCAAAATTGCAAAACAATTATTTGGGCCAATAAACTTTAATAATTCTAAATAATTTACCAAAATTGCAAAACAATTCTTTGGACTTATTTTGCAAATAATAAACTTACAAGCAAATGACC